ATAAACTACTAAAATCTGTAGCTCCTCCTTCAGTATAAACAAAATGAGTTCAAGAAATTAGTACCTTAGTCTACATCTATGATCAAGACATGACCCTTGCTTCAGTGTCAGAGGGAGCTTACCATCTTGTGAAGCAAACAAGTAAAGCAATTGTTGTGCTAATTAACAGATGGGTAACCTTGTGAAAGTTGCTTAACTTCTCTATGTTATTTCTTCATTTGCAAAAGGAGGGAATTTAGCTTCAAATTGTGATGAGTTGGCTACTGTCAGCTTGGCATCACTAACACATCTTTCTGAGGTCTCCTCTGCATTTCCCAAAACTCCTCTCCCCATATGTTTCCTTGTTAGATTTGCCAGCGATAGACACTTGTGTGAGCTCTGGAAGACAGGAGAAGCCATTGTTCTCTGGAGGCTGTCACAGCCAGACAAACGAGCAGATGGGAGATTTCACTGCATCATTTCAAAGAGCGCTGGGGAACTACCTGTTTGGCTGCTGCACATGAAGATTATTAGTGAGAGTTTCACGTAGACTCTTAGCACCACAGCACTTTCCACGATAGTTCTTGGGAGCTTCTGGCTGAGATCTCTGGTAGCTTTCCTGAAATGTACTGCTGGGTTCCTTGTGTTTCAGAGTCAGCTTTCATGATCTTTTTTTCTTGCAGTCTTTGTAAATTTCTGTAAGCTGTTAATTCCTGTATTAACTCTTTCATACTCTTTCATGTGGCTTCTCTTTGCTGTTGGGTCTTAGATTGTTACAGTTTTGGTAACAGGAGGGAGGCTGATTTCCCACTTCTGACACACATGTGTGGTGTTATCAAAGCATCTAACACTTTGTACTTACAAGTCCAATCACCACGATTGTAGACCAGCATGCCAACAGCTACACATCAGATGTTCGAGGCTACAGAGATTTATTCTAGTAAAGAGACCAGGGTTCAAACAGTAACTATGGTTGGAAACACCATGGGACAGTTCATGGTAACTCATTAATATTCTCTAAGATCTTTTTGCTTCTGCACTGTCCCAACAGGCCAGCTAAGCAGTGATAGAAGTCTTCCCTGATCCATCTTTAACAAATTTTATTGTGGCAATAAGTTTGCCAGTTCTTCCAGAAATAGTATTTGCTTTGGTTTAATATTCTGAAAAGAGAGACCAAGTCTGGGGGCTTCACTTGGCCCTTCTTACTGTAGTAATTCCTGCTCCATTCATCTTGGGGGCACAAAATGAGTGTTCTCCCAATTCTTATTTCATCTACATCCTTGAAAACAGGAAAAACACAAAGCAGGTCTGTGAACCCAGTGCACACACTGTGAGACAGACTTGAGCCAAAAGTGGATCATCACACTTAAGACAGGTAAATTCATATGGTAGGAAAATTAAACCTTTTAAAAATGTGAATCAGTGTATTTTGGGTTTCCTGGAGACAGAATCAGCTCGCAGCCAGGGTACAGTAATCCCTTACAGTGCTGGTAGGTGACTGCAGATAGACGCCTTTGGAAATGCAGAGAAAGATTTTATACATATGATTATTACATATATATACATATTATATGTATATACATTTATATGAATAAGCATTTGAAAGTAATTTGATTAAAATATCAAAAAATATATAAGCATAATGCTTTTCCTTATAACTAACATATGTTCAACATATTTTAAACTTGGCAATCAAAAAAATAAAATAAAACATTCACATATAAATGTACCTATATTTACAAAATAGATGAGAAATCAGAGGATTAATTTTCGTACATTAAGGGAATTATACCTTAATGTAATCTGCCTATCCAAAAGCCTAATACATATTTTAATTGGTTTAAAAATAATACTTCTAATTTTAAAAATGAAATGTAAATTTTTTAAAATTAAATGTACAGATATTATTTAACTTGTTTTCTAAAACAGTCTGACAAACCCAGCTAGGCTGTTCAAGGAAAAAATTACAAAAAGGGAGAAGACACAAATGATCATTGTCAGAACGAGAGGGGGAACATGTAATGATAACCCAAATGTGGTTCATCCATGAAATCCAAAGTAGAGCTAACATTTGAAAATTCGTCTCTAATAAATTAAGAGACTAAATGAAAAAGGCGACATAATATTTTTAATAATTTTTAAGCCATCATTTAAGAAATTTTTCTCAGCCCATCAACCATAGAAAATTCTCCAATATTGGAAGAATATATACAAAAACCTGCAGTTGTTATAACACTTCATGGTGAAATGCTTTCTTGCTTAGCAAGTAGTGATTCAGCATTGCCAAGTGTGCAAGCGTATCGAGAGGGCTAGGATGGCTGTTTGAAGCCCAGCATCAACAGTGGTCTAATATAAATGAGTTTGCAATGACATGACATCCATCGTGGAAGGAGTATAAAGTCTTAAAGAAGTGGAAATGTTGTAATGAACATAATATGTTAAAACTTTAGAATCCTGCAGTGCTGCGATAGATATAAAACATGAAGGGAAGCTGAGAAGATATATTTAAAAAATTATTACTGAGAAGGAGCATCCTTAATAGCTCTGCAGTGGTTGTTCTCTATTGTTCTGAGATTATGCTATGAAGTTGTAAAGGATTTAGGTTTCCTGCCATCAACAGAAATAGCAGAAAGCTATTGCAGTAGGTAAGTGGAGATGCTTAGGAGCCATGGACATAGTACAATTACTATATCCAACTGAGGAATGAAAGGATAATCAGGTGTGTTTTGCAACTTGCAGGAATTTGTGGCAATGGTCAAATGGTTATCGGATTTATAGTAATGGAGTTGTTTGCCATATTATGGTGCAAAATGTTATGCCTAGTCGGAAAAAACACTAACTTGGATCAAGGGGGCATTCAAACTCTGTTATCCAGTCCCCATACTTAGTTTAGCCAAGGATATCTTGAATTGAAGGGAGGCGAGAAGTGTTTGAGGAAGGATGCTGGGACGCTGTAATAGTTAGACGCCATGACTTACCCCCGGAGCTTTCACCAGTGAAACTCGATGCCGTTTACTGAGGCTCTGTGCTTTGGGAAAAGTGAATTTCCCTCTCCTTTCAAGAGTTACAAGATGCTGGCTTTCATGACACATATGTTTGAAGAGCAGAAACCTTACTTCCTACCAGTGAGATTGGGGCTTATAAATGTCTGGTGATGGTGCAGTCTTGGGATAAATCTATCTCACTGTGAGTTTAGAGCAGCTGCAGTTATTTCTCTATGTGCAGAATGAACGGTGGGAGTAGATAATTTTAGTAACTGACCAAATCCTTGTATTACTAACTTTACCAATGAACTCAAGAAACAGTTAAGGACAGATTCCTGAGTAACATTACCCCCAGCTTCTCAACTACCAAATTAATAAACAAACTGGAAGCACTACTGTATGCCTGGGTGAAAGACGGTGATTAGATTCATCAGGAAATACTTGAAACACACAAGGACAATGATTATAACGTAGCTGTAATAGAAATGAGCCGAAGATGGCCTCTGTATATTGACCTCTAAGTTATTTCTTCACATAGGCTGCGATTTGTTATCTCAGATCTTGCCAGTGCCAAACTCAAATTTTGACACATCCAATTGTTTAGCCCCCAAAGCAGATTTTTAGACAGATCCTGCCTGCTTTGTTCCTCAGTCTGCTAGCTATAGATGAGATAAAGTTGCTGTACCTTATGCTACCCAAAAGCAGAGAAAAAGCACAATGTACGACAGAAATGTCTTTAATTTAGGAGGCAACGCAGAACATGTTTCAGTATGCTGCTCTGACCCATCTTCTAGGTAAACTCAAGAGAGGCTTTTGTGACGGGGCCAGACTACCATCCTTTTCATATAACTAGCTCTCGGCATTGAAAATGTCTACAGTTCTATTTTGTAGAGCCTGGGACAACAGGAAAATCTTAGCTCAGACCCTTGAAGATTTCACGTAGTACAAACCAACTGCTTTTCCATTTGAAAAGCAGCTTCAGGTTTGCTGCTGCGCTTCAACAGAGACTATAAACAGGTCCAAGGGACACCAATCATAAAGCAACCTAAATCTCCCCTCATGAAATAAATTTTATCTAATCTACAGGCTCATGAAATTGATCATGCACAGCAGCAGTCTGTTGTAAAACTGAAATCGTACATGCAACATCGAGTCTGGGAGGCCAGAACTTCACAGCTGCTGGCGGAGAATCCATGGTATCTACCCCTGCAGCTTTGCCAACCTTCCCTCCAACCCACATACCTTGGGCATTTCACTCTGACCAGGTAATTGGGCAAAAAAGAAGATAAGCCTGGATTGTAGATAATCTTCACCCATGGGCTGGTACTAGCTGGAATTGTCTGACTGCTACAGTGTACACACAGTAAGAAGCAAAGAGTGTCCCTAAAAGATTGTGGAGCAAGAAATGCCTTTCAGTGGACAGAATTTCATGCAGATCCCACCTTTCGTTGCTTACACTATTTGGGATGATAGCTTTAAGTATTAATCATTAGCAGCGGCTAAGAGTTTTTCAGCTGATTAGGAGCATGGAGGATGGGGGACAGGAAGTCTCAGTGAGAGGTGTGCGGTGGAACCCTTCATGGTGGGTATCCAACGTGAAGATGTGCAAATCTGTGCTGTCAGCGGCCAAGTTTACATCAGTACCATCTACCTTTCACGACTTCAGTGATTTTCAAGGAAGCCAGAAGCTACATTTCCAAGGATCCCTTAAGATTCCATATGAGAGTGGCCTGGGAGGTGGAAGTGAGGAGAGGGCATCATTAAGAGATCCCAATGGTCAGTGAAATGAGCAACGACAAGGTATACACGGCGTCTCCAGTCAGCAGTTTCCAGAGTCTTGAGAATTAGTTTCCCAGTGACATTTTGCAAACTGCTCGCGTCTGTTCATAATGCCAAGATTACATCTTTCCTTCTAAACTATCAAGTTCCTAGTTTTCTCGTATTCACAAATGCGCTAATGCCTTTACTAAATTTCTTTATTCCTTTACTATGTAGAGTGTCTCTGTTTTACAAACCAAACATCAACTGATAGAAATTTGGTACTGACAGTAGAACTGGGAAACGGGACTTGGTGATGGGAACTTGAAGTTGGTTCTGTGATGTGATAGATTTAAAAGCAGGAAGGCTCCCTGTAACTGTCAGAAGTAAATGGGACACTGGTGGCCCATGAAGTGTCTTGGCAAATCATTACTTATTACATCTAGTGAGTGCTACCTAGATTTGAAGACCTAGAGAAAGCAAGGCTTTGGGGGACAAGGTAGCTGCTACAATAGAATATTGTAAGGGAAATAATTGAGACAAATAATATGAAATGGCTTTTCTGCTTGTCTCCATGCTTAAAAACTTAGAGAAAGAAAATTACTAGCTTGGCCCTTTAAATTCCCAACTCAAGCTCTAAGTAAGGAATCAGACATTTTCTGTGGCTTTCCCAGAAAAATCCTTTTTTTTTTTGTGAACTCACAGGATTGAGATTTCTAAAATCACACCCAAAGTGTGATCCAGTTGGTACTTGAATCGTGATTACAATACAAGATGAAATAAAAGTCTTACATAGTCTCTTAAAATAATGCTAGCACGTGGATTAAGAGAAAATGGGGGCCTCAAATGGGTAGGATTTTCCAGATGCTCAGAAAGTCACGCACCTTAAACCCTCCCACTCGGTCGGGCCTGTCTCGTCAGCAGAAGCAGCCCGGTCTGAGGACGCTCATGTCTTCTTGCTTGAAAACTCTGCGAGGACTTCACCTCAGTTAGTTCCCTTGCAGGAAGGAACAGCTTCTGAGGTACTTGCCAAATCTCTTAGCCTCAAGTCTAGAAGCAAATTATATGACTAGTTTCACATTCTGACTTCTCCTAGTAGACTGAATATTATCCGCCCCAGGAGGAGTTACAACACATACCAGAAGAATACATAACCAAAGAATTATAAAGTTTGTCAGTTTATAAATATATATAACATATATATGTACAGGTACGTTATATAAATACATACACACACCTAAAATTAAAATGTTAGTGAAGGAAATGTACAGTCAGGCTGGATTTGTATTCATAGGTGCACTGACCAAAGAAATGTTGGATCTAATGTGTAGCTCCAGCAGCTGAGGGTTTTGCTCCATTGCCTGAAATCTGGGCTCAGTTGTGGCCTATATTAAAGAAAGTTTATATGCCAAATCTTTCTTGTTAAAATGCTAAGGACGATAAACTTCAATATAGAAGCTTAGGGAAATAGAAATGATAGTATGGATTTACTTTGTTCAGTCTGTTTCCTTGCTCCCTAACTAGGTCTCTGGGAAAGTCCAGAAGGTCTTATCAAGCCTTTGAGAAATTCTTTGATGCAGAGAGTACAGGCATCTTTGAAAGGGTTGGTAGCGTTAGTTCTCCGTAGGCCAGGAATGATGGGGGCAAATACCACTGTTGCTAAGGGCTCTCTGAACTCAATGCCAATGATGGAATCTTGGACAAGCAGAGGTCAGGTGGCTGCATTTAACTACTGGATACAAGAACGTACAGTCACTCTAATGAGTAGTAGGGCCAGAGCAATCACCAGAACCGCTTTCTGTTTTGTTCTGTTTTCCCAAAGAGACTTTGGCAACCCCTAGGACTAAAACAGGAGGGTATCTGACACCAGCCTCACTTGACAAAGTCTCACTGTATCATCAAAATCCACTAGGAAAGGTGAACAGAGACCAGACTTGTATCACCCCCAAAGAGTTATGACTGCTCACCACATTTTCAGACATGAGCCAGTTCACAGATAAACCCCTGGAATGCAGGAGAGGAAGACTGTGTCCTCCTGATACGTATCTGCCAGTTTTAAGCCAAAGAGTAAGTAAGACAGGACCATGTGATAGTTTCTCTGCAACCTGCTCACATGATCCCGGAGAATCAGGCACCTGCACACCTGCCAGTCACGATTGGGATGCTGCACGGGACCTTTGGCAGGTCCTTCTGGGTGAGCTACTTATCAGAACTTCAAGACACTGAAGTACATCATGTAGTTTCATGAATAGAAGTATTCTGACTTTGAAGAGCAACTTGCAGCTTGTTCCCAGGCTCTGGTGCATGACTTTCAGCTTTTAACCTACCATGAGACCTGCACTGCCCACGATGAGCTGGCTGTTACCTAATTCCCCGAGCATGCATCAGGTGAACGTGGGATGTCCAAGGCCAGCTTCAGCAGGTGGCGTCCGGGTCCGCTGCAAGTGGCTCAGACTTCCAAGGCATGGACTCGGCCTGTCTGCTCTTTCTCCCTTCAAAACTGTAGTCCCAGGAGGAAGTCCATATGGTTAGTTAATTGCAGAAGATCACTTGGGTCTGTGTTTTAAAATATTGTGCATTCATAGAAAATTTGAGGTACAGTAAAGCCAACAGATCAGGAGAAAACTGCCATTGAAAGGATAATTCATTATATTTTGAGATCCCCAGAGAAGGGGGCTCACTGTGTCATAGGGGGCCACATGGGGCAACAGCAGGGTTAGTCATGAGGTGGGGAGGAGGGGTGAGACTTTATTGTGGTTTCCTTGGGAAGGAATAGGTGAGGCAGGGTAAGAAGACTTAAGTTTGGCAATTTTCAATAATTTCAGCAAGCTCTGGGACGCAGGGGCTGTTTTGAGCTGTCTGGTGCTTGGCTCTGGGGTGATTAGGGTGCCTGAGTGTGAGAACCTGATAGGCAGATGGTCGGGGATGTGAACTCTCTACTGGTTGGTTTGTATTTAAAAAGAAAGCCCAGGGAGGACTTCTCACCAGGAGGAGAAAGTGGGTGGACCAAGGAGATGAAGAGTCAGGTGATAGGCATATTATTGGGTTGTCCAGAATAAAGCGTATCTCATTTTCTCCCAATAAATCACCACGCTCAAACCTTAATTTAACTCAGTGCCCCTCCTGCCAACATAAGCTTCCGAGGTAGAAATACTCACTGGAGGAAAACTGGTGGCACGTTGACTATTGGACCAGTTCTACCAAGGAAGGACGCGGCGAGTTTTCCTTCCTGAAAGGTTACTCTGGATATGGATTTGTCTTCTTGCCCACAATGCTTTTGCTCAAACCACATCATGAACCTACAAAATGATGTATTTTTATGACCAAGAAACTTATTTTACAGAAAACTAGGGGTAACAATGGGCTCAGTCTGCATGGAATTCACTGGCCTTACCATGTAGCCCATTACCTTGGAAGTAGCTGAAACCTGAATTGCATTGCAACTTCAATGGCCTCTTGCTGTTTTCGAGAATTATCCATTACAGTGCTTCAAGTTTTTATTCAAACTGAATCTAAAATGGCATAGTGTCCCAGTACAATGAATGTGGATGATTATAAAGTAGAGAAGGCTCTCAGTAAACAGATAAAAAATGTTACTACTCACTCTTTCCCCAATCCTGGTGCTTGCTCAAAGGACATATACACAGTGGCCATGATGACAAAGATGGAAGCCATGCATGGGATCAACTGTGTGATATTTTTGCAACAAAACTGATCTGGCTACTGTCACTGCCGAGTGCCCAATCTATGAATGACAGAGGCCAATGACAAAATCTACATGGCATATTTTGCAGAGTACCAGCCATGCATCTCCTGACAGGTTGATCATTTTGGACTCCTTGCATCATGGAGAGAGCAATGGTTTGGAATATGTGTCCACAGAAGTACAGAATTTCCTTACTCCCCACAGTGTTTCTGCCAGCCCCACTACTCAGAAACTTACAGAAAGCTATATCCATTGTCACAGTAACTCAAGCAGCATCTCTACCTATCAAAGAACATGTTTTATTGTGAAGGAATTAGAGCAATTGGCTCACAGCCACAAATTCACAGGTCCAACTACATGTTTCATCAACCAGAAGCAGTTGTTTGAGAAAGTTGTGGGACAGGCTGCTGTAGTCTTAGTTATAAGGCCATCTTGGAGAAATAAAATCCTTAGTGTTATGGTGCGTTCCTGATGGTGTCATATATGTCTTAAGATAGTACGTAGTATCTGATGGTCTTTCTCCCATGATTAGAATGTACGGATCCAGCAATCAAGAGATTGGGCTATGGCTTTCTCACTATGAAGCCAGATAACTCTGCTGAAGTAGAACCCCCATTCCTGTAATATTGGGCTCAGTGAGTTCTATTCCCAAGGGGGAAAGGCTTCTGCCAGGGAACATAGTCATGGTTCCACTAAATTAGATGCCAAGGCTGCCACTGGCCATTTCTGTCTCCTCATGCTGCTAAATCAGCAGGAGGAAAAGGGGGCTACTGTAAAAGCTAGGATGATTGATCAATCACTTTCAGAGAGTTCATCGATTCAGTCTAGTAGCTGGCCAAATTGCCCCTCAGCTGTGTTGATTCTACTATTCAGCTCATTTATTGAGTTTTCTCTTTCAAACAACAGACTGCCATCTTGGGCCAATGCTGGTCATAAATTTTTTACTGCTTTGAACAGATGTTAGTAAGTTTATTCTTGCTTGCTAGATAGCAGTTCAGACAAATTGAGAAGCACAAATCTTCCATTTGTAGTTGGAATGGCATGTACGATAAGACTGGATTCTAGTTTTTAAAAAAAATCAATATATAGTTTTTGATCTGGTAGATCTAGATAAAATAGAAGAGGCAATTTAAAATATGAGCAGAATCAGCTTACCTCTCTAGAAGAAAATATTTCTCATGATCTTTTTGTATCTAGAAGCACTCCAGAAAAATAATTTCAAACATTTTTTAATTGCAGAGACTTCCTTCATTGAAGTACTATTTAAATTATTTGAAGAGATGACTCTTTTTCTTTTCCAACCACTAAAAAATGACCAAAAAAAAAATAGATCTAGAACCTCAAACATTTCCACTGCCAATTAAACTTGAATGTTAACAGTATTACTTCTAAGACTTCATAGCTAGTAGATCTTCTTCCCCTTTTTTAGTTATAAAATGCAAATTTCTCACAGTGAGAGTTGAATATTGTTATTGTGGTTGAATCTATCAAAGTAACATATATGGCCATTTTTATTCAATATTTTTTCAGTGCCTACTATATGTCAGGCATTTTTCTAGTAAACACATCAGTAAACACAACAGT